CAAACATTAAATGCCAAAACAGAACAAAACAACAACCCTGTACAAAAACTGTGAGTTCCCCCATAGTGTGCCACACTTCACACACACACAACACACACACACAACACACAAAGCCCACACACAGTCTCTGATGACATGCATACTTGACGACAGGTTGCAACTGCTCCGCTGTGATAGTCGGCGGTCTAGCCGGAACCGTGAACACAGGAAGGGAAAGCAATGACGTCATTTATCATCTACATAGCCACAGGCAACAAACAATTTATCACCTACATAGCCACAGGCAACAAACAATTTATCACCTACATAACCACAGGCAACAAACAATCCTGAGGTGTGCCGACAAAATGAGTAACTTCTTGCAATCTCTACAAAAGGAGATATTGGCCAAAACTCAACACTAGGGTCAAATTTATAGATTTTCTATTGATGCCATATCCTTTATGTATAACATGCCTTTCATTATTTCATACGTATAAATTGTAACACCTTCACCTACAAGCGCGGTGTATCTATTTTCATAGGGCTCGAATCTGAGAAGTAACTCATTTTGTCAACACGCTTCACAATTTATCATCTAAATAGCCACATACATCAACTGAACGAGGTCTGTCAATTTCTGTCCTTAGCATTCTAGGCTTCAGATCAGTCACAAAAGAAGGAAAAGCAGCGATCAACAACACACTCACAAACAACAAACATTCAATAAGATCTATCAGTATAATTATAGTCGCTAGCATTCAATAATCATCAGCCATCTGTTCAGATGCGCTAAACCCAACATTTCGATAATTTCTCTTATTTCTATTTCTTAATCCGTGGTACCACTTGCGTGAGCTTGAATAATATTTTGTTGGATTCAAGTTCTAAATGTTGGAAGAAGCATGGTGTAGGTACACATTTTTAAAGGACTTAATATTTTTCCTCCCCCTTGGAAAACCTCGCTCTCTAGGCTTAGTGTAGCTAAACAGATCGCTGGCGATATGTGAAATAACGCACATAATCATTTGTGAGATGTGCTGACAAAATGAGTCACTTCTCGCAATCCACGAATGGATACGTAGGCCGAAAATACACACATCAAATTTGTAAATTTTAAACTGACCCTTTTTTCTTCAAGTTTAATGCC